TTTAAAAAAAAAAAAAAAAAAAAGCAAAAATCTCATGATTGTAAAAACCAGTTTCAAGAGTGCTTGGGGACTGACTCATAATCTTTAAGTGCTTTGGGAAGGCAACACTATTGTCTCAGGATTCCCAAAAATCTCCTAAGAAACCCTGTTCTCATGAGCCTGCCAGCCCAGCTCTGGTAACCTAGAGGTGGGAGAGAATCAGAGTCAGCTGGGACCTTTGAACTCCCCACCAAAACTAGCTCTAGTACAGCACAGGATGCTGCCCACAAAAGCCTTATTTAAATGACACATCTCAGATTACCGCAAGGAAAATGCATTTGACCCACTGCTAACATTGTCAAGAGCCCTGTGGGAGAAATTATATTCCTCTTGTGCCTCTCAAACTTTCCTAGTGCTCCTGGTTACAGCAAAGAACATGCTCGTGGGGCTCATGGATGGGGAGGGGAGTTTATGCATTTGCTTTGAAAACACAAGATCTGGGCACAACCTGCTTTGTCACACCCATTTAAATGTCCACTTGCCTGCTGGGTTAACGCCGCTGAACAAGGCTGAATTCCCCCTAGGAGAGCCTTGCTCTCCCTGCAGGGCAGGTATCACAGTAAAGTGCTGCAGTGGCACCGTTGTGTAAGACAGAGGACCCAGGCTCCATGGGCACTCCCAACCTCTCCTCGCCTTGGGACACTGAGCCCTGGGGAAGACCAGCAGCAATACCAGAGATCTGCCAATCTTCCTCCCCTGGAAGGATCACCAGCAAGTTACTGCGGTAATTACTTCAAAGCCTCCGGCACAGACCAAGACCCCACAACAATCTCAGCTGTAGTAATGCACTAGAGTATAATCCAGACAATGACCCTGGAGATAAAATAATTAGATACAGAGCTTGTACCTTAAAGGATACAGGGCATGCCATAATTGCTGCTGAGCTGGATCCAGAAGTTAATAAAATGTGTGAACAAATCAAGGAAGCAAAAAGAAAAAAAAAGGCTCATCAGTAACAACAGAGCAAATAAATCCTCACGGTTCCACTACAAGGAAAACAGAAACTAGAATCGAAGGGGCAAACAGAGGAAGTGGCACAATTCTGCAAATAAATATGCATTTCCAATACGAAGGAAATCAAGACGGCGTCCCCAATGAGGCAAAGGAACTATCAAGAAAAGGTCAACAGTTTGAAGAAAGATGAAGAGGATGCAAAGCTCGCTGCTGCTGGCCCCTGCCCCAAAAACCTTACAATCTAAATGCACCACTCCGGACTAGACCTGCCCTGCATGCCTGCTGAGCGTGGGCCTGCTGCTGCTGAGGAAATATGGCCCAGCCAACTGCTCCCCCTGCCCACACACCCAAGCCCAAGCAATGGGGCGCGTGGTCAGCGCTGCTCCGTGCCACATTTGCTGCTTATGCGAGAAGCAGGAGCGAGTGAACAGGGATTATTTCCTCGGCACCAGTCCTGGGATTGTCGAGGAAGCAGCACTGACCTGGCCAAAGGGGCAGCCTTGGGAGCGAGGTCCAGGTTGGAATGAGGAGAATGGGCAAAGCCCCCTCCCTGGAGGTAGCTGCCTGGCAGGGGAGCTGGCATTGCTGCTGCCTGTGCCATACCCAGGTGTCTCCTGTCCCCAGGGCTGTCAGAGCAGCGCTTTTGGCCGGCCAGGGTGCTCTTAAGCAAGCTTTTTATTAAAAGCCTGGTAACAGCAAGGATTCAAATCATTCACAGGGTCAGTCCAGTCCTCAGCTCCTGGAATCGCATTCCCCCACATGGGTTATTGCTGTACACTTCTCCGCGGGTCCTGCTGCAAGCCAGCTGTTGCATAACCCGTGGGCTGGTTTCCTCCGTTCTACCTCACTGAATGTCCTGGCAACTCAGCTTCAAGCTGCACGACAGAAACCTGCTGCTGGCTGTGTCACAGCTGGTGCGTTTGCTCATCGGTGAGGAGTCACAGTCAGTCAGCGGGTTACCCGAGAGACAGCCAGAGCCTGCTCGCTTGTCATGCTGCCCCTAACACACGAGGCCACTGGGAACTTTGACCCATACACCCGGCTTCCACCAGCTTGCCTGGGCACCAGTACCACTGCCTCCTCTGTAGATGCCGGTGATTAAACAGGAAGGAAAAGGCCACATGCAAATAGCAACATGACAGAGGAAAAACGAGACTAGAAAACCCACAAACCAAACAATTTGCAGTTACAGTACAGCTCCTCTCCCCTCATCCTGTTTTGAGTCCTTGATCTTACTCGCTAGTGGGTCCGGAGCCCACAGATCTGATCTCAAGCTAGGATCTGCATAACGTAAGGTTTAGATTATATGGCACATGGCATCCCTAGCAAGCTAGAGGATTTTGAGGAGATTTTTCTACCCCTCTCTCTAGGCAGAAGTCTCACTAATTCATGCCAGGTGCTGGCAGAGGTAGGCTTCAATCAAAGCCCGGCAGTCAAACCCACCCTCCTCATCAGAGCTCTGGCAGAGACTGGATCAGATCACACAGCCTACTCTCAGGTTTGCATTCAGAGATCCTTGGGGGGCCATCTCCCAAGGGTGCGCTGTCATTCACAGGGGCCTTCTCCCTCTGAAGTAGCCCCTTCAACGCACTGGCCCCCACTCCCCAAAGCAGAACCAGGCAGAATTCAGCAGCTCCTAATGGTACAGGACATTGCTGAGCATAAGAGTCCCAGGATGACAAAAATTAGAGATCTAGATCTCATCCCCACACTTACAATTATGCAAAATGACATATACAGTAGGGAACAGTCTTCCCTTTGCCACTACAATCCAACACTGCAGCTGAGACACTCTCCCCACCCCCCAAGGAGGTCATATTGGCATTACAAACATCACAGATGATTTCAGACTGTCTCCTGTACCTGCTTTTTACCCAGATTCTCCAGGATTGTGTCCCCAGTATTGAAGGGTTACAAATCCCCCATCAGGGAAACTGTTCCAG